GTGATTGATTTAAAAATTATTCTTGTAAATGTTGAATCATGGAGTGCAAACAGGATGATGTCTATATATTTAGAGTTTTAACCCTGATTTACAACCCTATTTAGTACCGATTGATTTGTGTTTGCATGACGTCCAGTGGAAAATATTGTATGCATGTTCAGGAAGAAAACAAATAAACAATAAGTACAATAGGTATGTCATGCAATAGGGATCGACCGCTTGGATGAAGGTCGGGAAATTTGGACTGTCACCGGAAAATGAGGGTATATTTGATAGATTGAGACAGAAATTTAGACTTGCAACAGCCAAGCTATGGGCCCTCAAAGAGTAGTTTCAAGGGTTCTTGACTTATTAACGTCCCGAGAACGCGATATTCTCTTTACACGTGGCATTCAGTGGCGGATCCAGAAATTTTCATAAGGGGGGGGGGGGGGGGGGGGCCCACTGACTGCCATTAGAGGGGGCCCGCTTAGTCATGCTTCAGTGATCAACCAAATTTTTCCCCCAAAAGGGGGGCTCGGAGACCCTGCCCCCCCCCCCCCCCCCCCCCCCAAATCCGCTTCTGGCATTGGATTTAATGTCCACATTCAATCTAATTAAATTGGTCCACTTTCTGACTTGACGTGATTGCGTATTTATACATACCGCACAACCAATGGTTTTTCTGCTGTTTGGAAGAAGACCTAAGTGAACATATTTCTATTCCCCTGTCACACACGGGGCGTATCCTACACAGTTTAATACATTTGGATTAACCTTGAGATATTTCGGAGTATGTCATCCAAAATCACCATCATTTACCCACAGGCACTTGTCTTTGAAAATAATGACCAATATACTTTTATACAACACTTTAAAGTATGTAGGTTTTTTTTCAAAGACAAGTGCCTGCGCATTTACCGTATGAAAAATAACAACAAAGAGAGCTTTTCAATTGGTGTTCTTCTATGCTTCTAAGCATATCAGTTATTTATTAAGCATGCAACATTATCACTCATCACTGTTGAGGTACTGAACAAATATGACGTCATTCTGTTCAGTAGTTTTGGATGAATGTGTAACATTTTTTGGACAGACAGACGGACGAGGTGATTGCGATGACAGCCCGGCATCTAGAGTGGGGTACACACAATGTGTCTATTACTTATGAATATGTAAAAAGAAATCCCCTATGGTGATATCGCTGGCTAATTAACTCAGATATTCCTGAACTTTCAAAATAAATAGAAACTGAATGCGAAATATCTCTTAGAGTTTATAGAATATTGTGTCAATTATGACTGTTAAAAGTCCCATAACTCTGGAATGGCGAAACAGGCAATTTTTAAAATCAAAAGCAAGACCACATTCACCAATCCCAGTAAACGGCAAACTGATAACAGGAAAGGATATACAAATGTGGCAACATGGCTAAAATCTTTGGTCAACACCTTATATGATATATATATATATATATATCGGATACAGTGCAGGCGATTTGGTGTCACGATATCTCAGGAGCATGAGTTCGAATCCCGGCAAGGGAAGATCTAACATTGTTGGGCTGATGTTTAGACGAGTTGTATATATATATATATATATATATATATATACTACCTCTAAGTGGTGATTTTTTTATCCAACTTTTGCATACTTGGCCAAAACTATAACAGATAAAGAAAAACTGTAAACAGCAAAAATGACCAACAGGATAGGAGGTATGAATTTGGCATGTGGCTGAAATCTTCTGTCATTTCCTTACAGAAGTTACAGCCCCATTGATAATTTTTCACCTAACTTTTGCATATTTTCCCAAAACTTTAGTAGATAAAGAAAAATTGTTAGCAGCAAAATGAGCAACAAGACAAGATCTGCAAATAAATCAACAGGGCCGAAAATATCAATAGACTTATTATAGGAGTTATTCCCTTTAATGATGATTTTTAGCCAACTTTTGCATATGATGTAAAAACTATATATAAAAGATAAAGAATAACTGTAAACAGCAAATTATGAGGAAGTCAAACTCTACAAATGAGTCAAGTATTGTCAAAATTGTCAGATGAATCCTTACAGGAGTGTTTGCCCTTGACGATTTTTACCTTTTCTTTTGGCATTTTGGGCAAAAACTGTAGAATCAGAAACTTAAACCAGTTAAAACATTGGCAAGACAGGATCACCAAATAGGTCAACAAAGTTGAATTTGTCAATCCCCTTCTTACGGAAGTTACTGTCCCCAGGGATGATTTTTACACATGTTTGTTTTGTCTGCAAAAATCGTAGAAGAAAGAAACTGTAAAAAGAAAAAAAAAAAACACGCTGAAATGTCTTGTAGCTTTACTATTCATGATTTATTTTATGAGATAAAGTTTTACTACAAGTATCACATAAACTTAACATTACCAGTGATCCATGAACAAGGTCAGATAAACCATGTCAGACAGACATGTACACCTTACAATCATTCCACACACCAAATAAAGTTGGCCTTTTGATTATAGTATCTTAGAAAACGATCTTACTACTATAACCTAACATTCACCAATGAACTATGAAAATGAGGTCAAGGACAGATGATACCTGCCTGAGAGACAAGTACACCTTACTATCGTTCCATACTCAAAATGAAATTACCTATTACTTAGAGTATTAGAAAAACTGACCAAAACACAAAACAGAACAGTAACCAATTAACTGTGAAAATAAAGTCAAGGTCAGATGAAACCTGCCAGGTTGACATGTACACCTTAAATCATTCCATGTACCAAATATAATTGATCCACTGCTTACAGTATCTTAGAAACTGACCTAATCATGTAACTTTAACCTTGATCACTGATCCATGAAATGAAGTCAAGATCAAATGAACCTTGTCTGACGGACATGTAGACCTTGTAAGGAACCCATATATACCAAATATAGTTATCCTACTACTCATAATAAGTGAGAAATTAAAATTCCAAAATATCTAAACTTTTTTTTCAAGCATTCAATGAGGTCAAAGACTAAGGACATATGACAGATGGAAACTTCGTAACATACGGCATCTGTATACAAGGTATGAAGTCTCCAGGTCTTCTACCCTCTGAAATATAAAGCTAAATACAAATAGTTTACGCCGCCACTGGATTGTAATCCCTATGTCTCACATTCTGTAACTTTCTTCACAGGCAAGACTAAAATCAGCAATACCAGTTCACTAACAAAATCAATTTTAGTCTACTATGTTGGAGAATGGTTATTGTTGAAGATGCACATGGGTCCAAGTGAGGGACACAGGCTAAGGAGCCTCTAGTTTACTTTTGTTCTACATTGACACTTTGTAAATGCAAATCCTCTGACACCATTCCACAGAAAACTCTCCAACTTTGTAGGTTTGTTTGCCATCATGTGTTGTTGACCATGTCATTCCCTAATTTGATTTGACCATTTTTATGGGAGTTAATGGACTTTTACCATATTTTGACTACTAGTACACATTGTGATACCCAATTAAATTCCTCATTTATACTATATCTGAGAACATTTAGCAATCTTCGTTAAATTACTGTAAAATTGACATATCAAAATCCAGCTTCAAGTGTCAAGTCTTGTACAAAATAAGGTATATTTATATCTTGTTAATAACATTTTCATCCTGATGCAGGTAATATTATCATTTATCAGCTGCTGATCAATCAATTAGTCTATCACCTAATAAGCAGCTTGTGTCAAGAGTGCATGATACTTTCATATTACGAACTTTACAATTGTTGCGAGAATAAAATGAAATATTTTTATCCAATGGTAAAATGGCTCTGTTGAAAACTTGCATGAGGATTTATAAAATTTTCAAGATTAAAACAGTGTAAAGTTTGTTATAAATTTATGTAAGCATACTACAGCTAGCTTTTTGGTAACAGAAGATTTTGAAGCCAAGGTTTTCTTAAAGCTTTTTGAGTCTGAAAAATGCACAAAATCAGTAAATTTTGGGCAACTTATCCAAAATGTGCTGACTTTTAGGCCTATAATGTTCTCTTTTTAATACATTAGTTTTACCTAGGCTTCTGAAAAAGATCCATTTAAGAACCAAATTAAATTTGCAAGGCCATATTTGGCCTGAAGTAATCCTTGTCCTTTGTACAGATTAATGGTTACCAACAAAACTACCTTCCCTCTAAAAACAAATTACAAAATAAACAGGAGAAACAGAATGTCATTTCTTACTGAAAAATTCCTTTTTTTTAAATCCAGTCAGCTGTTCGAAGTTTTAGATACAAAATGCAGACAGACATCATTATGTTAATTGTTTTTGTGCTTTTGTGCAAATCTGGAGAGTCAAGCCATTTCTAACTGATTTTTAAAGTTTCTTCTTATGTTGTGCTGTTACATTACTGACCCAGGTTAGGAGAGGGTTGAGCTGCCTCCAACAAGTTTAACACAACCTTATTCTTTATGTACCTGTCCCAAGTCAGGGGCTGCAATTCAGATGTTGTCGTTTGTTTCTGTCTGTCAAGTTTGTTTTTCTTTTATTGTTTATTCATAAATTAATCCATCTGTTTTTCTCTTTGGAATTGTTCCACATTTGTTCATGTTTAGCTTTTTATAGCTGGCTATGAGTTTTGCTCATTGTTGAAGGCAGTACATTGACCTATAGTTGCTTATATCCATATCATTTGGGCTCTGGTGGATAGTTTGCACTCATACCATATCTCCTTTTTTTTATATAGGACAAATGAACAAAGGAATAAATAGATACAATCATCATTGGGGGTCTCATTGGGGGGTTCTGATCCCGGATCCCGCTTACTGTTTTGTCAGATTCCCGTATCCCGCTTACACTATGTACGTAAGCAATTCTCATTTTTTTGTAATTTCCCGTATCCCGCTAGACTTCATTTCCCGTTTTCACAGCACAATAATTTGACTTTCACGTGTCACGCTTACAAAAATTCGGCAATCCCGCGTCACACTTAGACCCCAATGAGACCCACATCATTATACCTCTCAACTCTTCCTAAAGGTTTATAAAGCAAAATAACCATGGTATATCACAATTTATTAACCAACAAAGACCACAGTTGAATATTCCATATTTATACATAACAGAAGCCAATCACAGTCTATTGTTATCGTAACCTAAATCTGTCCCTCTATACATCATACAAAGTATGGGAAATAATGTGGTGATCAGAGTGGTAAAAATATTCCATGGATTTGCACAGTATTACGTAAGGTAATAAATAATAAAGAAAATATACAATATAAATATAACATTTACAAAAGAAGTGAAAAAAAAAAAATAAGTAACAGCTAGACTCAACTTTAAATCATTGTATGACTCAAAATGTATCGTAAAAACTCCTCTAACTAAAGATGAATGCACATTTATGTCACAAATACTCTGCTTATATAATTCATAAATCCATTAAAGTTGGCAAGATGGTAAAAACACACACAATACATAAACTCTTCTTTATACAGGAATGACTTACAGTTAGTGCATGACAAAATTTTTGTGCTGGGTTTATTTTCGCTTATCTTGCAATTATGTATAATGTGGCATAATACCACCTGTGCAAATAGTTTAACACAATATTGGTATGAAACTTATTGGTGGATGAGCAAATATAACCCGACCATAGGTTTATACATTAAAATCACATAAATATCAACCCACAAAAATACCCACCTTTAACATATTATTGAATGAAGTTTACCTCTTCAACATTTTGTTACAATCCTTATCAAATATGTAAGAAATATGGGAATATATATTTCAAATATTAACTTATTTATTCAATATGAATTCTTAATTTTTGTAGTATTACTGACAATATTCAAATATCACACAGAAATAATACAATACAAACAAAAGTCTTTACAACCATTATTACAAAAATTAAGTCTCCCTTTCAGCATGCATAATTAATATGGTAAGGCTCCTTCAGTTTACTTTACTTTTTGGATTAATGAAAAGCAAGCTTGAACAACTTTTTCGCCTAAAAAATATTTTGGAAAAATTAGCTCCAGGATTTTCTTTTTACTTTTTTGTTATTGAACATTTTTTTTTATGTTAGGACTGTAGGCAAAAAAGTGGAAAAATCCAGTTAAAACCTATACCACTAGAAAATATGGATAATGATTCCTATTTTTTAATTCCAATACATTGCCAATAAATATATGATTACTACAAAATCAGCAGCCATTATTAATGAAAATTTTAACTGACAGTATGATTTATGCAATTTTCTAATTTTTTTAAGCAATTGTCAATAAAATGGAAATTTAAAACAAGACAACATTTCATGCTAAAACAGGTTACCTTTTTCTGTCAACAACAAACTCAATTTGGAGAAAGATTAAAATGTATGGTTTATATTCAAGAATTATAGAAAAGTCCATTAATCTGCTAATTATTACCTTACAAAGAAGTTTCATAAGATTTTTTAATTTTGATTGGCATGCAACAATAGTGAGTTATTCCAAAATTTTATTTTATTCCACAAATATGCAACATCTACGACTACATTTGCTCTTCATGATAATGTTAGCAAGGGAAAGGTAAACAAATGAAAAGCTTTATCTAAAATATATTTTATTCTTGCTCTAGGTTAACACTGAATGAGTTATGTTTACAAACAATACCCGAACAGATTTATTATTTATATTCAATATTCATATACCCACACAAAGGGGGATAATCAAAATTATGAGTACATGAAAAGTCTACCGTTGATTGAAAGAATCTATAAATTAGGACAATCATGTTAAGTAAACTCTCTTTTTATGAAGAATGTTAAATATATGGTGTTTTTGTGTCTCAAAATACAATAGTTGAAGCTTCATGTGCATGTATTTTATAACTTCATATAAAAAATGAATGTATTGTTTAGTTAAATTAATCAATTAAAGAAATTTTACATAATATAACTGAATGTTATGTATGAACTAACAGAGAAAAACAATTCCAAACATAAATGAGGGTCCGGATGGGGCCCTCTTTATTTCTGCATTCTTTAATTTTTCAAGTCATTTTTTTTCTTTTCTTTCTATTTAAGCACCCTAATTATTCTCTATTCTTTATTTGTTTTGTCTATTTTTGTCTATTCTTCATCTTTATGACCCATAATTCTCTCTTCTGTACACCACATACAGACCTCAAAAATGCACAAAAAGAAGACATTTTCATAACCAACTAGTGAGTGTATCTATGTTATTCATTTATCCCTTCAAAAAGATAAATAAAATCGGCACAAAAATGGCTCATTTGTCATATAGAACTTTTACTTTATGTTAATATGAAATATATAAATTACTTTAAAATCATTATAACCAAAAAGGATATGTAAATGTTAGATTCTTAATACATATATACTTTCTCAAAATATGCATACAAAAAAACTGAAAAAAAGGGATTGGATAGGCAATATTTTCTATACATTTCTTTGTTTGAATGTGTATTATTTATACAGTTATCAAATTTCATACACCAAATTTTCAATTCATATTTTTAAATATTAAACATTTTTGCAAAATGATTTTCTGTTAATTTTAGAGATATGTCCCTATGTATTAGGTGTAAAGATTTCATTAAAATTTTATGTTTACATTGTTAGTACGATATTATAAATATTATCAACAAAAGACTTTATAAAAAATTATCACCAATTAAAAGGGATTTATTGATTGTTTTTAGCATAATATCCAGTGGCAAATATTTAAATATTTCAAGCATATACAGGATACTTTTGATACCTTTCCTGAAATTCTCCAGTCATAAAATCTTTTAAAAAAATTCATCCTCCAACAGTTTACTTACTTCAACTAGCTTTAAATGCCCACGATTTCGCGGGTGTGTTCTAGTACAGGATGAAAGTTAAATGTATGTTGCTTCTTTCTTTGCAGTGACTTTCAGAATAGTAAACAGTTCCTTAATGTGAGTTTTCAAATCAGAAAAGGAGTATTTACACGACAGTTATTGAAACAAAAAATGAAATGATATAATGATAAAAAGTTAAAAACTTTGGAAATATTTTTGTATTTACTGAAAAGCAACTAATATTTGTCCATACTTAATTTAGTGTTAAGTTATTTCTAGCCAACTTCACAGCAATTTATTTTCACAATCGTCTCATTTATCTTGATATATTTATATAAGGGTAGATCCAAGTTTCACATATTCCCAATAATATAAATCAACAATTTTTTTTTTCTCTGGAAAGTTGTGAAAATAAATCGCTGGTTTACAGTATCTATCAATATTTGATGTTTACAATATATTCGAAGGCAAATACATCCAAAAGAACACATTAGTGATTCAATAAATCTATTGTACTGAAATTTAAATCAAGTAGCATGTATACCAACAGTGCATCATGAGGTATTATGCAATCTTTTGAACAGTTATAAGACCATGGTTTCAGAGGCTTATCTAAATGCTTGATATATGTCATACAATAAAATAAATGATTTCTAAGATCAACCCATTAAAGCTTGTAAGGGACATTTAAAATAGTTCACAAAACTTATCTGAATTGTGTAAGTTTACAGGTCTCTCTTCCATTTAACGATAAATCAGTTTTGGCTTAACAAATATTTAAAATAATATTAAAAGCCTTACAACTGACACAATAACAGTTTACATAACGTCATAACATAAACACAAACTATCTACTGTAGTAAACTCTGTAGTATAAGGTCTTAGATCGCCATAATGAGTAAGAATTGTCAAATTTAAGTAGATACACGCCCTGCCCAGGGTACGCATGACTCCCACAATACACCTCTTCATGACAGTCTCTCCGATATACAGGTATAATTTCATCTGTTGGTGGTCGATTGTCTTGCTTACTCCCCTGCTCCACATCAACTTTATTTTCTGTAAAATAGCATCAATATTTATAATTGTTGTAAATTTTATTTTTATTTTAGGTGTTTTATTAATCATTGTAAAAAAAAACAAAATAATTATTGCATTACTTAGAATGCTCGTTTTAAATTCTGACTGCATTATTTGTACGATTGACAATAGTTATAGTATATACACACAATAATTTCTGATATAACATTATCTGATATTACACGCAATAAGCTAGCTAGCTAAGGAAGTAACCAAATAAAACATCTTCTCTGTCAATCAACAACAACAGCAGACGACATCAGCTCCTTCATCAAGCAGTCATACATGTGGACAACAAGGAATGTATATTATCTCAATTTTATTAAAATTTTTCTTTGATCTTTTTCTATGTGATAATTTTCCATCTAAATCTATTGGACTGAAAATGTTTTTTCTCAGTTGAGTAGAGTGAAAACGAAAAATTGTCATAAGCCAACGCAATTAACGTTGCCTAGGCAAATTGCAATAAACAGATTACCTATGGTCTTTCAGCTTCCTCCGATTTCAGAACAATAATCTATAATTCTATGCTTTATGAACATACATATTTCTTCATTTTGTGCCATGTTTAATCAGCTTGTAGTTTGGCTTAATTTCTGTCTGTCACAGATCTTAATAATTTGTTTTATATGACGCTGAGATAATTGTGTCCATCAAATAAAAGTAGAAATGGCTGTACAGGAAGCCAATTATTATGTAAGATAATCAATTTGTAATGAATGATAGTAGAAATCTTCTAAATTGAATCATCTGTGATGACAGTAAAGTAATTGAAACAATATCTATGATTTTCTGGGGATTTTTTTGCTAAACATCAAGCTGCCAATACATTGATCGTTAAATATCTGATACAAACCAGTATTCATTTAAACAATTTCAGTATAAATGTATGCTGGCATGCTCAAAAAGCTGTAATCAGTGGTTCAAAACATTTTCCTGGTAAGAATGTAACATTAAATTCATCCTGAAATGCTACAGCACTTTTCCATCTGAATCTTGTTCAGCATACATTAATGTTGTTGCCATTAGGTGGCCTTTTATAGCTTGCTATGCGGTATGGCTTTTGCTCATTGTTGAAGGCCGTACAATGACCAATAGTTGCTTACTACTATGACATTTATTCTCTGGTGGAGAGTTCTCTCATTGGCAATTATACTGCATTTTATTAATTTTTTATATATTTTTTTTACTGTAAAACCAACCTTGTTGTTCTTCTTCTAAATCTTCTTCATCACTAGATTCACTAACATGTACTGTGACTGCATTACTGGGTTCTACAGTCCACTCAAAGTATACACCAAACCCTATATCATAGTAGTCTGTGGAAAATTCCCAGAATAAACATGACCCATCTTCATGTGTTGGTACTCGTACCTGAAATATAAATAATCACAATTATCACAATTATCAACGTTCTTGAAGCTCTGATTTGTTGTTCCTGACAAAAATGAGCACAAAAAATTATGGGACGGATGGATGGACATTGACAATAAGACTGACTGACAGACTTAAACATGGACGGTAGAACAGAAGTAAACAGGTATACCTTCTTGCCTTTTGGAGGGGGGTATAACATAACCTAATCAACACCTTCAAACAGAGGATCACATTGGTTTCACTTTGCTGTCAAAGAAATTAAATGCTCTGCAAGGTTCAGCTTGATACGACTGCACAGACCATGAACAATTGAGGTAAGTATGGACAAAACATTCAAGCTTGATACAGCTCTGAATTTGGATTGTGATTAAATATTTGACACAGCACAGGTTTCTGACACATAATTGATATGGTCTAAGCACTTAAAAATTTGAAATTGGACATTCACCTATTTTGGTCCAATATCCAATTTCTAAAAACATGGTTAAATTCAGCATATCAAAGAACCCCAAAAATTCAATTTTTAATGAAATCAAACAAAGTTTAATATTGGACCCTGATTTGGACAAACTTGAAAACTGGGCCCAAAATCCAAAATTTTAATACATGGTTAGATTCAGCATATTAAATAACCCCAAGAATTCAAGACTTTGAATTAAACCCCATTGAAATTTGTCAAGAAATTATCGATTTATACAAAGTATTACAAATGTATTGTTTTTGGCTTTTTTTTCCCTAAATGGTTGGGGCCATAACCCCTAACTTCAAGGCAAACCTTCCATTTTTGGTATGGAACCTTGTGGTACAATTTCATAGAGATCCATAGACTTATACTTGTTCTTTTCCGGAATCCAGTCAATCCTTGTTTCTTGGCCCCTAATTCCTAAACAGTTTGGGCTATAACCCAAACATCAATCCCAACCTTTCTTTTGAGGTATGGAACCTTTTGGTACAATTTCATAGAGATGGATACACTTATACACAAGTCATTGCCCAGAAACATCGTACCAATAAACGGCCGCAAAAATTTTGCAGCGTAGAAAAAGATATCTATCAATAATAAGGTGTCTTCATAAAGAGGTAATTCACCATTTCCAAAGAGCAAAATTCACCATTTTGTTTTTACAAATTTCCAAATAAGATTATGGCTTCATTACCAGTATTGATTTTTATAAGAAACAATGTAAACTGATTTGAGAACAGAATACTGAAAATATTGATAATAAGTTGCTAATTACTGCACCTAAAATATAATATAGAACAGACAATTATTTCTAAGCAATCTTTAGGAAGATAAGAATCCATTTATAGCAGTACAACAGTGTAAAGGTCAAAGAACTAACGCAGGCAATGATCCACTATTTTTTATATTTTTTTTTGGAAGAGAGGGTTCAACTAACGTACACATTTCTTTTAGTATTTTATCTTTTAGAAGAGAGTTAATCATCTGTATTTATATAAAAGAAAAGTATGTATTTACATATTACATGGTCTTATCTTTTCGAAGAAAATTTCTGTTTGATACGCACTAGAATGTAAAATGAAGAACAGTACTTAATTCCTATTTTCATTTACTTTAACTGAACATTGTGACAAAAGACTGACATCAAATTATACAAAAGATTTTTGTCCCTAGAATTATACTTCTAGGATTAATGATGAACATTAGTTTTCATAAAATAAATATTCTGATCCATTTAAATGCATTGATTTTTCTTTTCAACTTGAAAAAAGGATGTATTATTTCCATCATTATGTTAAAATCCATTATTTAATGAATACAATACATATACAACAAAAACAATGTAACATAAAAGCAAATATAACTATTTGTACATTAGAAAATCATAAGAGCTACAAAAAACAAATACACCATTAAACTCATTATAAAGCATACAGTAAAATCATCAATCTAACAGTGAAAACTGGTTGCCTGTTAACCTTATTTTGTAAAGCTGTTTACCTGTAATCAGATGGGGAACTATCCAGTGGATTCATTATAATTCATGGTATACCCATTTTTTTAACCACAAATTTAACTGTTAATGAAGTGCAGATTTCCTATAGGCTTGTATGCAGAATTTATCACACCAAAAAATTCAGAAATTTAAGAAAAAATACAATTTTTCTTCACTTCATGAAAATTGGTATCTTGGAATATAAATGAGTTGACAGTATACATGGTCTACAAAACTTTTAACTGTTAAAATAAGATTGCTCAATCAGAAAAGCTAGACTTTATTATCGTCAAGTGAAATTACCTAACTATTTCTCAAACTCTGTCTGAGCTAATTATAGCAAGGGCTTTCAGTTTTTTCTTAAATAGCTCTTGTAATAATCTGTATAGTCAGTTGCAAAAAACGAGTACACAGAATCTTGGTCATCAAGATAGGAGTTTCATATATTAATCCACTTCATCAAAAACTGTTTAACTTGAATTCCTTTAGCAAGATTCAATCAATATCAGTTTAGATAAATGGTCAATTCATTAGTAATGGAATATGTTACAATATGGATAGAGGAGAAAATTAAAACTGGAAATGTCAGACATCTTTTCCTCATGGCATATCATGTGAATGAAATAAAATATAAGAACCAATTAATTAATTGATCTATATAATAAAATGGGTCTTTTCAGGACATAATACCTTTAGAACTTCACTTTATAATTTTGAAGTTCTAACAAGTAATTTCCTACCCATTAAAAAAGGCTTTGTCTCCATAGAAAAAAAAATGTCAAATTTTAATCCTTAACTATTTTTTATGGAGCTCTACATTTATTTTTGAATGTTCTTTTGATTTGCTGCCTTGCATTCTTGATTATAATCCCCTTACATGTTAACAGAATCTAGATAGTCTAAAAGCTGTATAGTACGGATATAAAGCGAGTAAAGATAGTTCAATACAAACAAGACAAGAGTTTACACAATCATGCTGTATCAGATATAAATACTAGTAATTCAAGTTATTGCTACATTCTTCCTAACGAAAACCCTTCAGAACAGCTAAACAAATCATCAAATACTACTACGTTCCATATAAGGCAGCAACAGATGCTCCCTCAGTGTAGATCATTTATCAACTTGACATATCTGTTCTAATCGGTCAGACAGCTGTATATACTTGAATTGTTATCAGACGAATGTGTCACAATTAATCGAAAAACATATTTCGCTAAGTGCTTACCATTTCCTTAATGATTTTGACCATTACTGAATTTGATTAATCACTAGCAATGACCACTTTAAACACAACAAATACTATAAGTGTTGCATGCAAAGAGGGCAATGTTTACTTTACCAGAGCACCTAATATCACTGGCAGTTTTGATGGGAGTTTGTTTTGTCCAAAGCTTTATTTTTTGGATTTGCTATTCAAGAACATCGTTTTTTGCCTTAATAGATATAAGAAGCTGTGGTATGAGTGCCAATGAGACAACGCTCCATCCAAGTCACAATTTGTAAAAGTAAACCATTATAGGTCAAAGTACGGCCTTCAACATGGAGCCTTGGCTCACACTGAACAGCAAGCTATAAAGGGCCCCAAAAATGACTAGTATAAAACCATTCAAACAGGAAAACCAACGGTCTAATCTATATAAAAAACGAGAAACACTTATGAACCAAATCAACAAACGACAACCACTGAACATCAGGTTCCTATTGTCCCTTATTTGTTTTCTTATTTCCCTTGAACAAAGTTCGCTTTTTATAAACATCATCTCTTACTTTTAATTTGTTTGTCCTCAATTATCCACTAGATATGATTATCTCATTTAACAAAGTCCACTTAGTTTCTTCTTGTATCAAAAACTTTCTCTGAATTCTTCTTGCTACAAGCTTAAGATGTCTTACAAGAAATTTTTAAGAAAGAAATAGTATCAATACAAAATAAACTAAAGAAACCAACAACAAAAAAATTTATCACTGATAACAATCATTAGTTTGACTGATCTCATTTATTTGATTACACTGAGATAATCGTAGCACAGAAAATTAACCAATTTTCTATAATGTGAATAAATTCTTTTATTATTCCAGAAAAAATAATTTTAGAAAGGGGGTAAAGTTGACTCAAATTTAAGAACATATGGATGTAGCAGGGTTGAATGAAATTCAAACTTAGTCTGTATTTTGTGGTAATAAGCATTGTGTATAAGTTTCATAACATTTTGTTTAGGCAAATTTTGAGAGGTACATACGGACGGACAAGAGTAACACTTAATGCCCACTCCAGTGACAGCGGGGGCATAAAAATGTTTACAAACATATGTTCCCTCCTTCCCAAAAACTTTTTATTAAAAAAATAGCCATTTATATAAGCTTATTAAAGACAATATTAAAGCAGGCTTACTTCAAACTTTTAAGCTTTAGCTAATATGGGGAACAAAAAATTTCAAAGCAACTGCACCATTATTTTCACGCAGATTCACAAAATCAAAGCGCTACTGCAGACATTACAGAAGCAAATACTTACAGTGACCGTTTCTCCAGAACCTATTTTTATAACTGAATCTTTATCTTTACGTAGAGATTCTTTGAATTCTTTTATATCTTTACGAGTCCACATAGAGGCAGCAGCAAGAGGAGGTAACTCATGATCTAAAAACACAACATACACCGAATAACTGAAGAAAAACAACACATGCATATAGATAATAGTGTATTTCTTGTTAAGATATCCATTAACGGAATGTAGTTTTCAAAAACAATTGCCAAGAGATTGATAATAATGATTTTCATGTTTATTTGTTTGTTTTTTTTTAATTTTGAAATCCAGCTTTATTCTGAAAAGCTAAATCATTTTTTGAACATAAATTTAGTGTTTAACATAACTGAAATCTTTTTTTGCAATTCTGCAATTTTTCAAAAAAAGCAAATTAATTTTTTGACAGCCAAAGCCTCATTTTGAAAACGAATTCCATGACTAGATATCTTGTGAAGACAGTGCAGAAACAGACATATGAATTGTTTTTCCCAACTCACTGTGGCAGTAGCCAATGATGCTATCTTTATTACATTCTCTTTACTAGTTTTTACACTGTCTTTAAAGGCTTTAATATCTTTGCGAGTCCAGATTGATGCAGGCATTAAAACTGGCATCGGAGTTGGAAAATCTAACAAAATATTCAAATAACAAGTGTTAATATTACTGTGCATGTTTGTTTTTATTCTATGTTATGATTGCGATTAGTGAGAGCATTCTAAATACATGTAGTTAAAAGTGACTTTCACATTGGTACATTTTCCTGTACAGTTCTATTGTAATTGCAAATTACTCTTTAATAGTGGGTCTCATTGGGGTCTATGAGTGACCCGGGGTTGCTGATTTTTTGTAAGCGTGACACATGAAAGTCAAATTATTGTGCCGTGAAAACGGGAAATTACAAAAAAATGAGAATTGCTTACGTACATAGTGTAAGCGGGATACGGGAATCTGACAAAACAGTAAGCGGGATCTGGGATCAGAACCCCCCAATGAGACCCCCTTAATAGTTATAGGTGACTTTCAAATGGTGTTTTATCCTGTACACCAATGTCACTATTATGCAATTACATCATTTTTAGTTCTGAACTAGTCTAAATCTATTGTACACATTTCTACTAATTGTTTGTTACCGGTACTCCACTGATAAAAAAATTCAAATAAAATGCTCCGCTGGGGCGCAGCTTGATACAACTGCAGAGGTCGAACCCTGAACAGTTGGGGCAAGTATGGACACAACATTCAAGCTTGATACAGCACTGAATTTGGATTGTAATTAAATATTTGACACAGCATAGGTTTCTGACACAGAATGAAAGTGGTCTAAGAACTTCAAAAATTTTAATTTACCTATTCAAACCATATCATTATTATTTGCTTTTATATATAAATCAGAAATAACCAATTTAAAATGGAAAATTTTAAAGAAAAAAAAATCCCCCCCCCCCAAATTTTTTTAACCCCCTTATGATTCATCACCCCCAAACTCAATCCCAGCCTTCCCTTTGTGGTAAGGTACCTTGCAGTAAAATTTCAGAGAGATCCATACACTTGAACACAAGTTATTGTCTGGAAACTATAAAAATGCTTGTTTTTTGGCCCCTTTTTGGCCCCAAATTCCTAAATGTTTAGGGCAATTACCCCCAAACTCAAACCCAGCTTTCCCTTTGTGATATGGAACCTTGCAGTACAGTTTCATAAAGATCCATACACTTACACACAAGTTATTGTCCTGAAACTAGAAAAATGTTTGTTTTTTTGCCTTTTATGGCCCCTAATTCCTAAAATTTTGAAGGAATTACCCCCAAAATCAATCCCAGCATTCCCTTTGTGGTATGGTACCTTGCAGTACAATTTCAGAGAGATCCATACACTTGAACACAAGTTATTGTCTGGAAACTAGAAAAATGCTCATTTTTGGCCCCTTTTTTGCCCCTTATTCCTAAACTTTTTGGGCAATTACCCCTAAACTCAAACCCAGCTTTCCCTTTGTGATATGGAACCTTGTAGTACAATTTCATAAAGATCCATATACTTACACACAAGTTATTGTCATGAAACTAGAAAAATGCTTGTTTTTTGCCCCTTTTTGGCCCCTAATTCCTAAAATGTGGAGGCAATTACCCCCAAAATCAATCCCAGCATTCCCTTTGTGATATGGAACTTTGTGATACAATTTCAGAGAGATCCATACACTTAAACACAAGTTATTGTCATGAAACTAGAAAAATGCTTGTTTTTTGCCCCTTTTTGGCCCCTAATTCCAAAAATTTGGAGGCAATTACCCCAAAAATCAATCCTATCATTCCCTTTGTGATATGGAACCTTGTGGTACAATGTCAGAGAGATCCATACACTTACACACAAGTTATGTCTGGAAGTTACAAAAATGCTTATTTTTGGCCCCTAATTCCTTAACTGTTGGTACCATAACCCCCAAAATCAATCCCCACCTTCCTTTTGTGGTATTGAACCTTATGGTAAAATTTCATAGAGATCCATTCACTTAAACTAAAGTTAGAGTGCGAAAACTAATGTGTCTTCGGATGACGACGCCGGACGACGACGACGACAGTGACGCCAACGTCATACCAATATACGACCACAAAAATTTTTTTGCGGTCGTATAAAAATGGGCTGAAACAGCTTCTTTATCCCTCCTTCATGATAATAGCTGTCCAAATATGGACCATTACTGGTTGTCTTTATTTTTAGGTCTTTCCACTTTTCTTTATTTTTAGGTATTTCCACTTTTCAATGGAAATTCCTCTTGCTTTGGTCTGATTTTTTTTCTTTTTTCTGCTACCGTCTGAGATGTTTTTTTTGTTGTTTTAAGATATATTGAAAGGATTTTTGGACCATGATATCGTACAGTGATTAAGGTTTCCCATTCACCCTGTGTAACCGAACACTTATTCTTATAGGAGTTATCTCCTCGCGTCCCATTTTTTTTGTTATCTTTATTTCTCTGAAACGGTAAAAGATATCATTGACCTATACCTTGAAATTGAGGTCAAGGTCAAAGGTCAATTTTACGTTCTAGATTTTGACCTTTGCTAAAAAAAACATACTGGTTCATTATAAAACTATTAGGTCTTTTGCATTTGATTGGTAGACATGTGACCTTTTAAAAAGGTCAACCGGAGATGACATTCTTTTAACCAGAAGTAGCCATTTTCTCAATAACTGAATGAGAAAGTACCTAGAAACCTTATATTCTTAGATTCAGTTTGAAGTAACAAATCATAGAACCAGATGTGACATCTTCTAACACTGTATTTAAAATTTAATCCTTTTTAATCAAGATTGAGGTGGAAAGACCTTCAATTGTTCTCTGAAGAATTGGTTTTTATTTTTTTATCTTCTGCCGTCTGAGATGCTTTTTAGTTACTTGACATATAGAAAAAAATTTTGGTCCATGATATTGTACAGTGATTATAATTTAACCATTCACCCTGCATGAGCAAACACTTTTTCTTATAGGAGTTATCTCCCTGTGACCCTTTTCTTGTTATCTTTATTTCTCTGTAAACGTAAATGATATTGACAAAAAAAAATTTCCAAATTGTTCATCTACTCTAAATGATGTTTTATTTAAGTTTACCCGAGGTGATCTAAAGACATCTAATGTGAGTTATTTCCCTTTTCAAATTTAACATGGTGATATGTTGAATATATTCATACATCATAAGTCTGATATATGTTGAATATATTCATACATCATAAGTCAAAGAGACCTAAAATCATTTGATATGAAGTCCTAGGTTCATTTGGAAGAAATTGAGGTCAAGGTCATAGGTCAAGATCATGTTCTTAATTATGAACTTTGCTTGTTATTTTTATTCCAAAGAGTCAGACTGTTTCTGTCACCCTCTATAGGAGTTTTCTCCCCTGATGTATTTGAAATCAGTATTACTCTTCAACCATACAAGTGAATTACCTTTGATCTTTTGATTTGAGATCATTAACCTATGACCTTGAAATTGAAGTCAAGGTCAAAGTTCAATTTGACATTCTAGATTTTCACCTTTGCTAAAAATTCATACTTGTTCATTATAAAACCATTAGTTATTTTGCATCAGGTTGGTAGAAATATGACTTTTAAAAAGGTCAACTGGAAGTGACATTATTTTAACCGGAGTAGCCTATTTCATACTAATTTAATGAAAAAGTACCTAGAAATCTTATATTTTTAAAATCAGTTTGAAAAATTATAGTTTTGATCGAAGAGAGTCAGATTTCCGGGGATGATATGCCAAATGATAATGTGTTCATTTTATCTCCTCATAATTCTCATACGAAAACAAAATCATATTGGGCTTGCTTTTTTAATTTCAAAAGAATTAAATTCTACAATTCAGAGTACATTGGTAGGATTTTTTTTATGTAACCACTTTCTTTAAGTGACATATTTATGGCCTAATTACATCCTTTGATGATCGTTAATCTGTTGATCTCAGGTTAATTAGTGTCATCACTTCTGATTTCACATGTGCAACAATTAAAATGTTTACTTTGCAATATCCTTCAATCGAGATAATTTGTAAGCATTATATCCGAAAGCAATTATTTTATTAAATATTTAATGAATGTTGTCATTAATGAAAGATGAACAAGTAAGTGAAAATGAACACCTTATATTGCAATGAACCACAAATCAATATAAAACAACAGTTGATTATTTTCAAGAACATCATTTTTGATGGCTTCTGCCTTCTATAGATTTTTTATTCAGAAAACTATAATCCACGAATTTAAGAACCCATGAACATATAGCTTTTGCTCAAACCATGAAAATTGGTACCCACGAATAAAAGTACTTTCACAGTAAAGTAGTAGAGACCTAGAGTCTTGTGATTTGAAGTCCTTACTTTATGACCTTGGAATTTAGGTCAAGGTCAGGGTTTAATTAGATGCTCTAGATTTTGACCTTTATTGTAACTTACTATTTATATAAAGTCGTATGTTTTTTTTGCATTAGGCTTTAGAACATATGACCTTGAAATGTCAACTGGAAATGACCTTGTATAAACCGGAAGTACCTTTTTTTTTCATTATCTTAATGAAAAATTTACTAGAACTTTATATATATATATATATTTTAGGAATCATTGTGGATTAAGGTTCATTTGAAACCGGAAGTGGAATTTTGTAAACCGGAAGTACCTAGTTGTCTCCCTTATTTTGAGAACAAGTACAAATGTATATAAAAACCATATATTTTTAGAATCAGCGTAAATTAAGCTATCATCTGACAGCAAAATTGACATTTTAAATTGGAATTGAATATTTTTCTATCAAAAGATGCACATTTTGAATGGAAAGACCTTCTCTGAACATTTGGTTTTTAATTCTTTATGTATTTTTGTCATTCTCATCTGAGATCACCCCCAGTTTTTGGTTGGATTCATGTCACTATGTTTTAAGATTTCTGTGTAGTGTTTTATGGACTGATGCTTGTCTTCTCATTGTTTTCCTTTTTGGCTATAGTAATGTCTGTTTTTAAGTATCTATTGCCTTCTTTCTTTCTTTATAATTATCCACTTTTATAATGATCCTTATAATCTTAAAGTAAAATAATGTTCCACAACCAATCCCATGCTTTCATAAAATAAATGTCTCAGACTTGTGTTATATTGAACTTAAAACAAGGAAAATCCAACTAACATTATGACAACTATTAAAATTGCCTACTAGTCTACTAATATATCTATATAGATATTTTCATGCAGTATTGCATCATTAAATAGTAATAAAATGTTTTATATGTAATCTTTTATGAAAGCAGTTGAACCTGAGCAATATCAATCTCAAAATCTAACAAAGGCATAAATAGCCCTAGGTAGAATTGAAAATGCGCCCAACAGTCATAAGTTCAGAAGTTCACAACTGTATTATTTTGGGTGTAACAAGCTTATGAAACTGCCTTTTTTACAGTAAACTGAACTAAGTTCAATTGTCAGCTGAATGAATTTTTACATGACCGACTTCATATATTGATTTTTTTTATTATAAAATCCTGACACGTCAATAAAAATCATTTCTTACTTAAGCTCATGTTATCTAAACGAATAACTGATAATGAACAGGAAACATAATATCGGCTTTAAAACGGTTGTATGAATTCTAGATGCTGATAATGAATAGAATTAAAGGTCGCACACTGGATTCTTTCCACAATTTAGTTTCATATATATTGATATACAGGAGGAGGTATAATGAGAGCTGAAATTGCAAAAAAAGTAAACTAATTTAGACTTTCAAAAATACGTTAATTTCATCGATAAATGAACATGTGGAAATTTAGGTATTCGACCTAAAGAAGCCATTTCATGCATAGTTTTCGGTCAAAATATATACGAGGAACAGCTTTACCCAAATAGATATTTGTGCAATGTTGGGATTCAACATGCTTTTGCAGTAGTTCAGAAACATAAGACTGTGTACTGTGGATTCATTATTATTCGTTGGATACCAATTTTCGTGCATTTCGTGGGTACAGGTGAACCATGAATTTAAACGTTCTACGAAATACAAATTTCTATCAGGTTGTATGCAGACATTGGCAAAACCACGAAATCACGTATCCACGAAAAGGCAAGTTTTCCGCAATCCATGAAAAATTGGTACCCACGAAATGAATGACTCCACAGTAATACCTGATTTAAAATTGGACCATTCTCACAAATGAATTAAGAAAATTACTTCATGTCATGCTCTATGCTCATTTTGACATAGGTAGGCATTATATTTGTCGATATTTTACATTGAGCGTTAGCGAGCTGTAAAAAATATGGTCAAATGTAATGCCTACCCTTGTTAAATTGAGCATAGAGCATGACATGAAATTATTTTGATTCTAATAGGACAAAAACTGTATTTTATTGGTTGAAGAACACAGCTTTGTTTTCAAAGCAAAACAAGGATGTCATATTAGAATGAGCTTCAAAACAAGAATATGGTCAAAACTCTAATTTGGTATATATTTTGAAAGGTTCAAACCGAAATAAACATGTGATTACAACTTCATGATGATCTTTCTTAAACAAAAACTTTACATGATAGGGGTCAGACAGATGGACAGTCTCTTTGACATATTCCCCATTTCCATTCTCAATTTTAGACTTGTAAATATAATGCCCCTTGAATTGTACGGGTACAGTACCTTCTTTGTTGCCATTTGTGTCTGGTTGTTCCGTTGGGACTGATGTAGGACCATTAGGCTGTTGTTGTTGTTGTTGCATTTGTTGCTGTTGTGCTTGTGTTATTTCTTTTGTTTCTGTTTTCGTTATAACTGTTGTTACATTAGGATTGTTGTTAGTTGTTGTTGTTGGAGCAACAGAAGACATGTTCTGTTGTAACTGTTGGTACTGCTGTTGTTGGTGGAGTAACTGTTGTTGATAAACTTGTTGCATGTATTGTTGGAAATGCTGTTCTTGTAACTGTCGAATCAATTCCTCTTGCTGGAAATTAAAAAAAAAAAAATAATTATACTTTTAAAAATAAAAAGAAAGCAACTCATCAACAAAATAAATTAGAAAAAAATAGATATGTTGAGATTGAAAAATATACACTGTCAAAATGCACTAAAGTACATGTCATTAATGCTATATAGACATTAACAAGTTGTTTTCAAGGATTTGATGCTTAAGACAGAAAAATATAAATCTTAATTACACATTTGGAGAATCATCATCTAATTCTTCTAAAATCATCAAGTTTAAATTAATTCTGTCCAAACATTCACCATGAAAAATCGACATTCTTTTACAGGCAAAAATGGTTTCATTGAAAGCACAACTCAAAACAAGAAAACATGTATCTTTATTCTTACATTAATTTGATGTGTTGCATATTATCTCAAGAAAATAATGTATTTTGAATTTCAGTGATTAACACTCCAACAACATTTTGTTCCTTACAATAGCATCTTAGAATACTGAATTTCTGTATATATTTATGTATGCCAGTTCAGATTGTTACCTTTAATTTTAATCACATTTATGCTTTATGTACTTCAGAATGTATCCTTTAGTTTTTAATCACATCACATTTATGCTTTATGTATGTCAGATGTATCCTTCAGTTTTTCATTACATTTATGCTTTAAGTATGCCAGTTCAGATTGTAACCTCTGGTTTTTAATTACATTTATGCTTTATGCATTCCAGTGCAGATTGTAACCTTTAGTTTATCATTACTTTTATGCTTTAAGTATGCCAGTTCAGATTGTAACCTCTAGTTTTTAATTACATTTATGCTTTATGCATTCCAGTGCAGATTGTAACCTTAGTTTATCATTACTTTTATGCTTTAAGTATGCCAGTTCAGATTGTAACCTTTAGTTTTTCATTACATTTATGCTTTAAGTATGCTAGTTTAGATTGTTACTTTTAGTTATTAATTACATTTATGCTTTATATATGCCAATTTAGATAAAGTAACATTTAGTTTTCATTATATCGATGAAATAGTTCAGTGAATTAGAGACTAAACTGATCAACTTTGGCTACAACCATCCTAAAGGTTTTTAAATAAGGCTCCTTGAAAATAACAGATATGTAATATGATCTAGAGAGCAACATGTTGTTGTCATATCACATTTGATTCATGTGCCAAACTTTGAAATAACATAAACTCAATTTGAAGGAAAAAAATCCAATTAATTTTTTTCAGGATTAATGTTACCTTGTACAGCAATGATGGAATATTTCAGAACTGCTAGGGACATTTGAACTATGCTTGTAAGAAAACAATTAGAAAAAGCCTTTTACAGTGTAATTGTGAAACAGCCTTGGTTAAATTACTTCCATTAATCCTTTTGTCAAAGAACTCCAGTGCAATTAAAAGTGTCATGTTACAGAAATACTACTAAAGAACTGAACCCAAGTTTAAGTAGTAAGAATTCAAAATGTAAATGAATTTTTGTAACCCAATCTTTTATGGTCAAGACTTAATTAGTATGAAAGAGTCGCACTGTCTTTTTTTTTTTTTAATTGCAGATTGCATGCCGTCTTCCTGATGAGATCTTGACTTGACATTATCTTCTCATATCATCAGAACAGAATTTACCATCACAAAACAAACAATCAAGCTTTATTACAAAATCCAGTATTGTAACAGCAAGACTTTTTCATTATGGGAAGGAAGTGCTATCTTTTGTCTACACTGAGCTATTAAAGACCAAAGTTGACAATGATAAATGTAAAGTTTTTCGGAATGATTCCATGGACTACAAATAATGTACTTTTTCCTTGAGTATAATCAACTAAAACCTAGTACGGTAGTCAATACTGTATGAGACAATGTATTGATTTACAAACATAGGTTCTTGTACAGAATAGTTATTTTACTGTCTTCTTCCATTATATAATGCATCAATAAAAATGTTCCATGATTATCATATATACAGTGCTAAGTTTCCGGTGATAAAAGCTTGCCATAATACAAATTATTTCAACCATAAGGGCTGTCAACTTATTTTTCATTTTAGCCATCATCAGTGTTAAATTTCAAGCAATTATATAGGATTTCTACAATTCCCGTGCAGAAAAAATAGCATGACTTTTTGTAATTGCTGTATAAAATAATAAAAGAAATTGTAACATGCACGAAATCCTTCTTGGATTTAATGTTTAATCAAAATGTTACACTATTATTTTAATGGTTTACAAGTTCGTGTCTTGTATAAGTCCTATAAAACAAAAACAAGACTGCATATTTTCACCTCAGCAAGTGTCTTACTAGCAGCAGGATGAAAGAAGTCCTGGTGGTCAAATTTCTATACCCTAGCTACTTTTGGGGTTGATTAGAAATCATTACCCAAATATGAGGATAATTGATTTCAATCTTTTAAAACATTAATGCAAAAATGAAAAGAGATTCCCATCTTTCTTCAACAATGTGCTTCCCTTTAACAATAAATGGGGAATGTGTCCATGGGACACAGATGATGCCCCCGCCTGCATATAACGTTATAAAGGGACATAACTCAAGAAATATAAAAGTGACGCTACCCAAATTTGTACTTGATCTGAGTTATGTGGTATTAAGCATTTTGTATAAGTTTCATAACATTTGGTTGAGGCAAACTAAAGTTTGAGAACAGAAACGAATATTTCAGCAATTTTTCCATTTGTAAAGGGCCATAACTCTAGAAAGGTAAATGTGACGCCACCAAAATTCACACTTGATCTGTGTTTTGTGGTAATAAGCATTGGGTATAAGTTTCATAACATTTGGTTGAGGCAAACTAAAGAAAGAGAACGGAAACAAAAATTTCAGCAATTTTTCCATTTTTAAAGGGCTTAACTCTAGAACGGTAAAAATGACACCACCAAAATTCAAACTTGATCTGTGTTTTGTGGTAATAAGCATTGTGTATAAGTGTCATAACATTTGGTTGAGGCAAACTAAAGTTAGAGAACGGAAACGAAAAATTCAGCTATTTTTCCATTTGTAAAGGGGCATAACTCTAGAACGGTAAAAGTGATGCTACCAAAATTCAAACTTGATCTGTGTTTTGTGGTAATAAACATTGTGTATAAGTTTCATAACATTTGGTTGAGGCAAACTTAAGTTAGAGAACAGAAACCAATTTTGGAACGTACGTATGTACAGACGGACAAGAGTAAAACTTAATCATAAAAATTTCTTATAAGTCTCTGATTAATAAATAGTCACAAACATCCTTTGCCAACATAATAACATCTCTAATTTAGATTATTACTTCTAATTTTGGAAAATTTTCATAAAAGTTCAATAAAACTTAATGATTTACCATAAAACCTGTCTGACACATGATCTCTAATAATTTAATCTAGTTTTCCATTGCTTTTTTGCATATATCTTTACTTTAAAAATACTTTTAATTTCACAGTCAGATCCTCCATAATCAATAAATAAGTGAAAGTCTCTCAAGGAAGGCATTTACAAGAATCTAATCAGTTTTATGGACCTGAAGTTCAAGAGTGGGTCTACATAAAGATAAGATATGTTTCCATATATAATGAAAACTATTGATTCTTTTTAGTTTGAGGCTTGTTTGAGATAATATCTTTACCTCATAACTATCTTTCTTTTTTTGTCCAATAAGAAATAGCAATTCCAGGAAAGAACAAAAACGTGTGTTTCGGTACCATTTTTGCACAACACAAATACCTCTTGATTACTGTACATGTATATTTATCCGAACATGTCAGAGATTTTATCATTGTCCACTTACAGTAATGTAATTCTTAATATTCAGCACTTTATTTTAACTTTGATGGATGGTTGTCTCATTGTCTTATTGGCAATCATACCTCATCTCCTTATTTTTATCTAGAGGTGATTTATTCTTATTTTACAGAAATATTTGCTCTATATTTTCATCTCCCACCTGATAATGGTGTAAGGAAATATTCTGATTTCTTAATAGACCCATTAGGCACAAAATTGTCTAGACAATACGATATTTATGTCATGAATGTTTCTAAAAATGTACCTTTAAAAAACAAACGTTCATTACTGCTTAATCAAATACTTATTGCATTTATTCAATAACAGACCTTTTGGACCAGCTGAGCTAAAAAGCAAGTCAGTGTCGTTTTATTGTTCTAATTGAGAATATATTGTAGGTAGTTTTGAAAATACATTAAATTCAGAAAATTTTGCAATGTTTTTATTATTGCAAAATTGTGTTGGAATAGGTTTGAAAAATAAAAAAAACTTGCATGTAAAAGTTTGATAGCATTACTTGAATGCAGCATTATGGAAACAGAGGCATTGTCACCAGAAGCAAGCTCAGAAGTTGCATGCATTATTAAAGCAATGTACCAACGGTAAATGTGCCAAAAATATTGGTACCAATATCAAAGTTTAGAAACATTAAAAACTTCGTAAGGGTTCCGCGGAACCCAGTGTCTCGCCTACTTTTTCTGTTAATCGCAGGCTCAACAAAAATGAGGAAGTAAATCAATAAAAATATTCCTCTTGATACTATCTTTTGATTGTAAGAAGCTTCTGTCCAAGTTTGGTAAAAATCCAGGATAGTTTATGAATCTAATAAATGTTTAATAACTTTAACTGCAGACTGAATGTAATGTTAACTGGAAGAAAAAAAAAATCCTTCTAGATACTAGCATTTGATCATAAACAAGCTTCTGTCCAAGTTTGGTACAAATCCAAAATAGTATAAGAACGTTATTAAAATTTTAAAAACTTTAACCACAGAGTGAATGTGTTGTTTCCTGGCAGAAAATCTAAGTCCATTTAAAAGCAAAATACGGAAAAAATGGATTTATTTTTTTACAAAATTTCCTGCTAGATACTAGCTTTTGATCATAAACAAGCTTCTGTCCAAGTTTGGTACAAATCCAGGATAGTTTAAGAAAGTTATTAAAATTTTAAAAACTTTAATCACAGAGTGAATGTGTTGTTTCCTGGCAGAAAATCTAAGTCCATTTAAAAGTGAAATAAGGAA